GGGGGGGGGGGGGGGGGGCAGAGGGCCTTGGGCCCCTCCTGGTGCAGGGCCATGGACTTCTCTAGTCTGCTTCCTCACTTTTAAAGTGTTGAGGTAGGGCTGGAGTAGGTGAATTCTGAGAACTGGGCCTGCTCCCAAGCTCAGCGGTTCCAGGTCCCTCCCACTGAGGAAGGGGCCTTTCCACTGCCCCCACCCCCAACACCACCCTTTTCTCCTGTTTGCACCAATTGACTTTTATTTTTTTTGGCAGCTGGCCAGTGTGTGGATCCAAACCCTTGACCTTTGTGTTATAAGGTTGTTCTTACCAACTGAGCTAAACCATCAACCCATTTTTTTTCTTTTTTTTTTTTGGCGGCTGGCCAGTACAGGGATAAACCGAGGCTTGGTGTTATCAGCACCACGCTCTAACCCACTGAGTAACTGGCCAGGCCCCAATTGACTTTTTTTGGTGGCTGGCTGGTTTGCCAATTGACTTTCTGATTCTTGTAATCTTGTCTTTGGGTCTTTCTTGGGAACTTCAGTGTTATAGGGGTCAATTTATATCACACTGAAACTTATAGTAACATCTGCCTGTTCTAATTGTCAATGCATGTTTTTTGGTTTTTGTTTTATCTGCTACAATTTGGAATTCTAAAAAAAAAGGTTGTCGGGCCGGCCTGTGGCTCACTCGGGAGAGTGCAGTGCTGGTAACACCAAGGCCACGGGTTCGGATCCCATATAGGGATGGCCAGTTTGCTCACTGGGTGAGCGTGGTGCTGACAACACCAAGTCAAGGGTAAAGATCCCCTTACCGGTCATCTTTTTGAAAAAAAAAAAAAAAGGTTGTCAACGATGTTGAGAAATGAGAGCCTTCACATGTTGCTGGTGGGAATTGTAAAATGATGCAGCAACTCTGGAAAACAGCTCAGCAGTTTCTCTGAAAGTCCAAACGTGAGTTCACCGCGTGAGCCAGCAGTTCCACTCCCTGGTGTCCACCCAAGAGAAATAAAAACATGTCCACACAGAGGCAGTGCACATGGCAGCTTTATTCACGATAACCCAAAACTGCAAACAGTCCAAACGTCCATCAGCGGGTGAACAGAGAAATAAAATGTGCTCCATCCGTGCACTGGAATATCATTCAGCCATAAAAAAGGAGTGAAGCACTGACATGCTGCTACATGCTTGAGCCTGGAAACCATCACGCAGAGAGAGAAAAACCAGACACAAAAACCATGCTACAGAGAACTTCATGCTATAGAGAACAAAGCAACCAGAGGCTTTGAAGATGCCACACGTAAGAACACCGCCGCAATGGGAAGAAGGCTGTCTCGGTGGACCTGAACTTCCTGTGGGCCCTCTTTCTTCCACTCTGTGTTTCCTGTCCACCCCCTGCCACACGACACTAGTGTGAACGTGGAGTTAGTGAACAGGTGTGCACAGCCAGGACGGCAGCCAGGTGCCTTGTGGAAGCGCTGGGTCAGGGTGGTGAGCATGGTGGGGCTTGCTCCCCTCGCTGGCTCAGAGCATGACCACAGCCCCCATGGGGCATGGCCTCAGGCACAGTGCTCCAGGAAGGTGCAGTTGGCCCTGTGCACGAATCCACCCAGTAATGCACCTTCCGTCAGCATCAAGATGGCGCCTGCTGGGAGCTCCTTCCCAGTGGCCAGGTTTGTGACCTCCCCAGGACCCAGCACCCGGTCCCAGATGGCCAAGCCAGAAATGCTCCCCACAAAGGCCTCCGAACTGTCAAACCCACCCCCGACATGGTCTTGCTCCTGGCCCAGCACAAGGGCCCTCCAGGGGGGATCTCATAGCCCTCCCGGAAATGGGAGCCGGTGGCCACTAGCCTGCGGTCTATGTGCAGCCAGTACCTGCCCTGGATGGATGTCCAGATGATATAGACTTGGTGCCACTGGCCGTCCAGCAGTGGCAGCTCCCTGAAGGCCAGGTCTCCAATCACAAAGTGCATGGAGCCAGGGACCAGGGAGTCTCGGCCATGCAGCACCAGCTTGTTGTCGTTCTCCTTGGTGGCATGGGACAGGAGGGTACCCAGGTGGCCAGAGGACGTGCGGACCCAGCTGCAGAAGGATAGAGCCCGTAGGGCTGTGAGGAAACCGGGGCTGAGGACAACCATGTTCTCAGTGGAGGTGTTGGGGAAAACAAGCACAGGGCCCATGCTGCAAACTAGAAACAGAGGGAGGGAGGGTCAACCCAGGTACCATGAAGCAACCCAGAAGCTTCCATGCTGCAGGCGCCCTCCCCCGCTCTGGGCGGAGCCCTCCTTCCCCTCATGATAGAACCACCCCCATTTCACAGGCGGGAAGACTGAGGATGAGGACAGTTTCACGAGGGAGTGGCTGGGTCCCCACAGGAGCCTGGGGTGTCCACCTGCAAAGCTGAGCTATGCACCTCACCTCCAGGGGAGCCTCTGTATGAGTTTCCTGTTGCTGCTGTAACTCATCCCAAATGGAGAGACTTAAAACAGCATTATTACTACACTTCTGGGGGTTAGAAGTCAGACATGGGACTTATGGGGCTCAAATTGAGGTGTCAGCAGGGCTGGTTCCTTCTGGAGTCTCTAGGGGAGAGCCGTTTCCTGCCTTTCCAGCTTTTAGAGACACCTGTGTTTCTGGGCTCACGGCCCCTTCCTCCATCCTCAGAGTGCATCACTCCAGCCTCTGTTTCTGTCCTCGTGCCTCCCCCTCTGACTGTCCCTCCTGCCTCCCTCTTATAAGGATCCTTTTGATGACACTGGGCTCACCTGAATAATCTGGGATATTCTCCCCATTTTGAGGTCCCTAATTTAGTCATCTCTGCAGAGTCCCTTTTGCCATGTAAGTAACATGGGTGGTCCGACCTATTGGGGACCTGCAGGAAGCTGTCACCTGAACGAGCTGACAAGGCCATCCCGGCCCCTCTTTTGGGGCAGGGTGTGTGGAGGGTGGAACCAGAATCCTCCCACACAGCCCTTGGAAAGGTTTTTCAGAAGGGACTGTGGCCTGAGGAGCTGGAGGAAAACCTGGAAGTGGACAGGAAGGGGATAACCTGTGGTACTTACTCTCTCCTGGTCTCTGGGGCAGCTGTTCCTGCTGAGGTGGCTCTCTCAGGGCTGCAGCAGCCCCACCAGGTGCCCAATGACTGCCTGGGGCTGAGGGCTCCCCTGTCCCTTGGAGACAGGCAGCAAAGTCCTGACGGGGGTTCCTGTGCTCAGGAGAAGCTCTGAGCACCTGCCAGTCCCTCTGCAGCTTCAGATAGCTTGGCCTTGATGACTCAGGCTGGGCTTGGGTCAGGGCTGGGGTTGGCCCTGGGGCTGTGGTGCCAGAGTTGGCCGCCTGCCGCCCATCCAGAGCATACAGCCTGGCGCCCTGCCTGTGGACGGGGACCATCAGGTGGGCCAGCGTGTCCTACAGAGCCCGCACAGCCAGGGCCAGGCCCGAGATGGCGTCCCTCTCTGCCTTCTGTTCCTTCCTCTCCCGTGCCCGCCGCGTGCCCTCCTCACTCAGGGCGAGGTCCAAGGCCTGCAACCTCGTGTCTACTTTTCGGCTTCTGTGCTGGATCTTCCTCATCCAGGTCTTCAGGTGAGCCAGGTCCCTCTGCACAGTGGCCTGTGACTGGTTGATCGCCAGAGCCATAGCCCGGCTGTCTTCCTCCAGGGTCTGGAACCGCACGTCCACGTTGTAGGACACTTTGTAGTTGCTGGCGATGCCCTGCAGGTGTGTTAAGGCCACCTCTTGGAAGCTCCGAAACTGTAGAGAGGACACACAGAAATTACAGGGGCCAGGGCCGGGCCAGGCTGGAACAAGGCTTAATACTTATCCACTGATTTGATCCACAGTGCTATGAGATGCAGGATTCCCATGATCAGCCACATTGGGGCCAAGCACAAAGAAGCGGATGATGACACCAGTCTCATAGCTGCAGTGTGTGGGATGACAGGCCCACAGCCCAGGCCTGACCCCTCCCCGACGCCCCATGCCCTGGATGACCACCGGCTGGTCGCTTCACTGCTATGACCCTCAGGGTCCTTCCTGTGAGAGCGGGGCACGGCAGGATGGGCTTCAAAGCAGGAAGTGCTTGGTGCATGCAGGGCACTTGGGGACTATCTATAAACACCACATAGGAGTCTTAGAGCCATCCACACCTGCTGCTTCGATGTGTGCCCATGACCTCAGGGCTCCCATGCCCCACGATACTAACTGGCACCATGGGCCCCCCAGGACCCCAGCACCCCTCCAGTTGTGTTCCTTGGGCCTTCTAGCCTCTGGCCCCACAAGGTCCTTACGCATCAGCTGGCCTGTCTGCAGAGGGGGCCTAGCAGAGATCTTCACTGGTTTCCAGCTGCAGGTGGAAATCACATTAGGTGACAAAGAACCGTGAGCCCCATGTCTGCATCTACAGAGCACCGGTGTCTAACTGCTCTGTTTCTGTAACCACCCCACATCATGGGTATGCTTACCTGCTCTTCTAGTCTACGGAGCTTCTCAAAAAATGGTTTTCTTTGCCCCGCTGGGCCGGCTCCCTGTGATGCAGCCCTGTGTAGATATATGGGCAGAAAAATGAGGACGAAAGACAGGGTCTTCCTCCCCGAGCAGCCCATCCTGAGAGATGAGGAGGCTCTGGTGGCCTCCCGCCTGACCATTGGCCTCCTGTGTCTGCCTCACCCCCGCTCCCCCAGCTGTCCAGTGGAGCAGTTTTCCTTCTTCAACCCTGGCTGGGAGTCAGGTACTTCCTGCCACCCTAATGAAAGGCATCTGCCTTGAAGCCCACGGGCTCTGAGAGTCCGAGGTTCCCAAGGAGACAAGCTTAAACAGATGCAAACGGTTTCTTTGGAAAATCACTCTACTGGGTGCCAGTCCTTGTCTGCTTGGCTCAGAGGCAGATGGAGGTGATGATTTTCACAGGAGCACACGGACTCATGTTTCCACCAAGCCATGGAAGCATGCAGGGAACCCGACTGGGGCCGGAAATCACCAGGTCTGCACTGGACCCCAGCATCCCATCCGTGCACAGTGCAGACTGTGAAGCCCGGGTAAAGCAATAGAAATGCAATTGGGAGCCGCCTTAATTTCCTTTGGGGTATAAGTTGTGTAGGGAGTTGAATGATGCTTCCCAAAAAGACATGCTCAAGTCCTAACCCCAGTACCTGTGAATGTGACTGCATGTGAAAAAGAGTCTTTGCAGATGTAAGCAACGATCTTGAGATGTGCTCATCCTGAATTATCTAGGTGGGCCCTAAAGCCAATGATGAGTCCTCATAAGAGACAGAAGAGGAGAAAACACAGAGGAGGAGACCATGTGAGAGGGGGGCAGAGATTGGAGTGAAGCTGCCACAAGAAACATCTGGAGGCCCCAGAAGCTGGAAGAGATGAAGAAGATCCTTCAGAGGGAGCATGATGATTTGATTTCAGATGTCTGGTCTCCAGAACTGTGATAGGATAAGTTTCTGTTCTTTTAAGCCACCCAGTGTGTGGTAATGAGATAACCCATGAAGGCGTCCCCAAAGGTGTCCATCATTTCCAAGACTCCATGAGCACAGAGAGTGCGGGGTCAGGGAATGGGCGGCTGACCCTAGGCAACACCACAGATGTGGAGAAGATGCTGAAAACATCCAGGGAGAAAAGCCTGGTCACCTGGAAAGGGATGAGACTTTCCCCAGAGAACCGTTGGCCTTCACAACAGCAGTGCCAGTGCCAAAGACAGGAGCGAACCTTACACCTTCTGAGTGAGAATGATTTCCATTTAAAATTGTTCATCTTGGGGCCGGCCTGGTGGCGCACTGCTACAGTGCGCCGCTTGGGAGCGTGGCGGCGCTCCCGCTGAGGGTTCGGATCCCACATACAGACCGGTTCCCGCTCACTGGCTGAGCAAGGTGCGGGCGCGACACCGAGGGTTGCGATCCCGTTGCCGGTCCCGGTCCGGTACGGGCGCGACACTGAGGGTTGCGAACACTGAGGGTTGCGATCCGTTGCCAGTCACGAAAAAAGACAAAAAGGAAAAAAAATAAAAAATAAAAAATAAAATAAAATAAAATAAAATTGTTCATCTAGCTCCAGTGTGAAGCGGCCAGGAGCAAAGAATAAAGACATTTTCAGATGTGTGCGAAGGCTTGAGACATTTACCTTCTGTGTGCTATTTGTTGGGAAGTTACTGGATGATGTGCTTCAGGAAAACAAAGGCATGAAGAAAGACAAGCTGCTCTGGGAACTGGAGAGGGCCACAAAGTAGCGGCAGCCTGGGAGAGATTCCCGGGATGACGGGACTCCTGGAGGGTCCCAGGAAGGTATTATCCCTGCCACACCCCGCATCCAACTCATCATCAGCTCCACCTCCTAGAGACACCCTGAGGTCAGTCGCTTCTCAACATTCCCACTCCCTGCATCCGAGGTTGCCCTCTCCCGTCTGTCCTCAGAACTGCACCCAGCATGGACCTTTGAAAGTGAAAGCAAGGTCCTTACACCCACTCACTCTTCAATGCCCTGAGCACTGAGTAGACACTAAAGTCCCAGCTGCCACTCGCCCCCCAGGACTCACCCCTCCATCTCCCCTTCCTTAGCTCCACCTCCCTGAGCACGAGTTGTGGCCTCTGGCATTCACACTGCTGGTTTGCTCTGTCGTTTGGGCTTTTAGGAACTCACTCCATTTAGGGCTCTGCTCAGATGTCTGCTCTTCAGAGGCCTCACCCTACCTAAAACAGCCTCCCGCCCATTGCCCCTCATTTTTTACCCTGCCTAGGTTTTCTCATAATGACTTGCTGATATGCTGCGCCTGTAGTTTCCTCGTCCCCTGATCTTTCATTTGCTGCTCAGCAAGAGTGCTCGCTGCCCCAAGCAGGCCTTTGATTGTTTGTTGAATGAATAAATGTTTCCCGGATTTCCCCACAACGTGCATCTCTGCTGAAATGACACCTCCTTCGCAGGTCTTCCAGGATCACCCTCCCACCCCAAAGGCTAAGCCCAACCCCCGCTCCAGGGAGGGCGACAGAACTTTCTGCCCTGATGGAAATGCTGCAAATCCGCGAAATGGCTGCCTAGACCTTGACATGCGGCCAGTGCAACTAAGGACCTGAACTTTTAATTTTTTTCAGCTTCAGTTAACTTAGCACCTGCGTCTGGCGGTTACCTACGGACACAGGTCGATGCCGGTCTCGTTTACACCACCGCGTTCACTGACGTCTAAAATCTCAGCTGCTCTTTGCTTCCTCTTTTCTTCTGCGCGTCCCCGACAGGCCCGCACGCCCCTACGGCAGGGGTGGGTAGGAGGCTCAGTCGACATTTGCGGAAGAGCGAGCGCCCGGATGCGGCACTGCGGGGCGGAGGGAGGGGGTGGCTGACATCACCCCGGGGAGGACCGACCAAGAGTGGAGAAGCTAAGGCGAGCCGGGGCCAAGTGGGGAAGCGCGGCCCACCACCAGGCCCCGCCCCCGCCATCAGGCCCCGCCCGCCCCCACAGGACAGGCCC